GGTTGGTGGGTTTGAGCTGCCAACCTTGCAGTCAGCAGGCCAGTGCTTATCCACAGCACTACATTCAGTACTCTACTTCATTATTTCTCTACTTACAATATTTGCCAGTTCTTCCAGTATAAATTAACAAAATATATTTTACATATATGTTAAAAACAGGCTTTTCTCATTGTTGTTAAATGCCATCAAGTCGGTTCCGACCCATAGCGACCCTCTAGAGGGTTTCCAAGGAGCGACTGGTGAGCTTGAACCACCAACCTTGCAGTTCAAACTGACTTTGCAGTCTAGCACATTAACCCACAGTGCCACACTAGGACTCCATTGGGAGGGGCTAAAAGAAATGGCACACCAACAGGAATGAGCACCCGTAGCATCCCTCAACTTGGATTCTCCATGCCATTCCCAATACTAAACAGAACTCGGGTTTCTTGGATTCAGGTCTGGGCCAAGGAAAGTCTTTGATGAGCCCAAAGCATCTTGTTTAGCCAGAAAGAAAAGTGCTCAAAGACTTAGGAGACAAGAAACAGAACACAAGAGTGGTTGGCTTGAAGAGGATTCCCACTGACCAAACTTGGGACAACTTGAGCTTCCAAGAAAATACTGCTGGTAATGAATTTTAACTCATTTAAATGAAAAAAAAAATTAAAAATCTATGAATAGAAAATTGGACTTATACTCCATAAGGACAAAAAAAAAAAGAAGAAGAAGAAAAGGAAAGAATATGCAGCACATTGTTGTTAAGTGCCATGGAGTCGGTTCCAAGCCATAGCGCGACCCTGTATAGGGCTTCTGAGGAGCGGCTGGTGAGCTGAACTGCCAACTTTGCAGTTCAAATGGCTTTGCAGTCTGGCACATTAACCCACAGCACCACACAAGGACTCCATATAGCACATAAGGGGAGGGAAAGCCCTTCTTTACAGAAAAATGTCAGTGAATGCAAACTTATATAGACATTGTTGAGTTGGTTCTGTAGCTGTAAATCTTTGTGTGAACAGAAAGCCTAATTTTTCTCCTGAGGAGCAGCTGGTAAGATCAAGTCACTGAACTTGTGGCTTGAAGTCCAGTACTTAGTATACAGAGCCTCTGTGCTCCCCCACTCAAAGAGAGAGGGATACAGTCGGAAAATTGCCATTGTTTCCATCACCAATAGGCCTGAGCTGGTCTTTCAGACCCTTGACTGGTTCTCTTAAAAAATATAAATATTATGAAAATTAGGGAACATTCTAGATTAAAGAGACAATCGAGAAATGACAAATAAATGCATTGTATGACCCTTGTTTTGATGTTGAATTAAAAAAAAAGATAATCTATAGTGGTAATTACTGTGACTAATGGGAAAATTTGGAAAATGACTGCTTACTAGTTATCACTGCATCAAGGATAAACTTCTTGGGTATGTTAATTGTGTTCATTAGCTGAATACCTTTTAAAGACAAATGCTTAAGTACTTGATGAAGTACTATCTTAATATGTACAACTTACTCTCAAACAATTCAGCAAAATAATAATGATAGTAATAATAAAAGTAGTAAATGTCTATGTGTATGTTCAGTCACAGAAAAAGCTAATAGAATTTCAACAATTGGTGACTTTAGAAAAACAACATATGGTTGTACACTGTACTAACTTTTTCAACTTTTCTATAGTCCTGGCCACTTTAAAATAAAAAGTTGGGAAAAATCAAAACCTTAGATACCGGCTTATAAAGTGAGTTTAGTACATATATCGGTCATAGAAACTGACTGAGGATTAAGGGAACCCACACATGTTGAGCTATCATATCTTACTATTATGACACTAAAAATAAACACGAAATAACAAAAGTTATCCCTGAAATTGAAGGAGCCATTGTGGTTTACTGAAAATTTCTGGCAGTGGGAGATGAAAGCATAAAGATATCTTTTAGAGCAGCTTCCCATTATTTTGGGATATCATCTGGATGGAAACTTTATTCACACACAGAAATTTAAAAGCCTGCTCACTCTTCTGGAAAAAGATATTTTGTAGATCTCCCTAAAAATAAAGTCTAATGGTGAATACAGACTTAGTTCTGTTAGGAATACGATTTGGGTGTCCTATGGTCTTTAATTTATTGCAAAAAAGCCTTTCTTTAAAGACTTAAGACTGTCCTTTTGTGCCTCTCCACAGGATGTTATTGAGATTGAATTACATAGGCTTTGAGAATTGTGTGACTGCTTACTGAAGTCAGACCATATCCGGTTAGGGGCTAGTTCCTTCAAAGGTAATGAAAGCTGCTACTTGCAGGGAGGGAGAGGGGACTACCTGTAGTCCAGAGAGTACAGGACAAAGAACAAGAAAATGTGAGGAGATTTGGGGATTTTCCTTCAGTGAGACCTCAATCTGGAGAGAGGGTCCAAGAGGTAGTCAGAAACCTCCTCACTGGAGAAAGGAGTCATTGCCCTCAAGAAGAACTCTCTCAGACTTAAAAAAAAAAATTACTCCTTCCACCACCCAATCCAATAAAACTCTGTTATACCCAAAAGTCTGAGCATAGCTTTTCTTTGTTTCAGAGTGAAGAGGTGGGACTTTTATTGACATATTAGTACAAAGAGCAAAAAGAGCAAATCAGCACCCCATCAGGGGTCTGGCAGGAAACAGATGTGGTACTCAAATTAGGATCCTACGGAACAATCAATAAAAGGACTACAGCTTTCAAAGGTGGGGGTAGGAAGTAGGAAACCTGAACGGGGTGTGCCTTGACTGAAGGTGGTAACAGAGGAAAGGTGATTTGCTTATGCCTAGCAGCAGTGCCACCACCACCACCACCACTACCAGCAGCACTCCTGGTATGGTGTTGTAGGATCAGCAGTGGACTGTGAACCACAGGCTTGGCAGTTCAAACATACCAGCTGCTCTTTGGAAACCCTATACAGGGTAGCTATAAAGTCAGAACTGACTCGATGGCACTTAGCAACAACAACAACAACAACAGTGGCACTGTGGATTAGGTGTTGGGCTGCTAAATGCAAGCTCCACAGTTCAAACCCACCAGCCACTCAACACCACATGAGCTGTCTGTTTCTTTAAAGCAGAGTGAGGAATGTCCGGCCTGAACACCATGTAAGGTCCTCAACACCATTTGGTCTGGCCCTGCCAAAGCAACCACAATTCCAGCCATCACATTAGGGGTGAGTTAATGAAATGGTTTACCAAATATCACAGCCTAATATTTAATCTGATAATTCTGTATGGCCTGAGAGTGATGTTATACATTTGGCAGAAAAAATGTTCCCCACCCCGGCTTTAAAGCCACTCAGTACAAGGGAACAGTCTGCTCTCTTAGTTAGAATCTTGGGAATCTTCTATAGAGTCATTATGAGTCGAATGGACTCAATGGCAGTGGGTGTTTCTTTCAGGCTTGAGAGAATGAAGACCTACAAAAGCCTGAGTAAAAGAACCTAGGAATCCTCGTGTGGTGTTGCAGGCTAATGTGCTGGACTGCAAGGTCAGTTTGAGCTGCAAGGTTGGTGGTGCAAGCTCACTAGCTGCTCCTTGGAAACCCTATACAGGGTTGCTAAGAGTCAAAACCAACTCAGTGGCACTTCAAGATGACAACAACAACAGGGAGATAGCATATGATACGAGCCTACATGGAGTAAGCCAGGGATAGAAATAACCTGACCTCACATTCTCTCTCCCTATGACTCCTGCCAGAGCTTCCTATGGGCCAATCCCAACCAAAAGCCAGAGTCCACAGATGTGTTAGATACCGTGCCCAACTCCTACAGGGCAGGAAGGATGGAAAGCAGGTCTGAAGGGGAAAACACAGCTATCAGACACAGGTGTGCCAGGCAAAAACATGCGCTCACCTGCAGAGTTGAGACTTTCCTACGGTTCAGATGCAAATTCTGGAGGTGGTAGCAAGTGACCACTGGGAAAAATTTGAAGAGTAAGAAAGTGGACTTAATAAGCCAGCTCAAAATCAAGGCACTGTCAATTTTTATGTATGCATATATGGTGCTGTGGGATAATGCACTGGACTGAAAGGTTGGGTTGAACCACAAGGTTAGCGGTTCAAGCACACCAGTTGCTCCTCAGAAAACCTATATAGCGTCACTATGAGTTGAAACTGACTTGACAGCATTTAACAACAGCATATTATATATACATACAAACACGCTTACTGAATAATATATTTATATCTAAGGGCTCAATATGACTTTTTTTTTTTTTTTGAAGTTGCTGAGCATATACATAGTAAAACATACACCAATTCAGCAATTGAGTGTTGAACAATTGAGGGTAGTCTTTGAGTATGCAACCATTCTCACCTTCATTTTCTGACTCGTTGTTCCTCCCTCATTAGCATAAACTAGGGTTCCTATTTAATCTTTCAAGTTGATATTGGCCACTTTAAGGAGCTCTGGTAGCGTAGTGGTTACAAATTGGGCTGCAAGCAACAAGGTCAGCAGTTCGAAACTACCAGCTGTTCCGCAGGAGAAAGATGAGGCTTTCTGCTCCTGAAAGATTTACAGCCTTGGAAACCCTGTTACAGGGACACTATGAGTCGGAACTGACTCCATGGCACATAACAACAACAATTGGCCACTTTGATCCCATATAGTTTTTTTTAAACAACATAACAACAATACTAAATTGTATTACTACTTATCCATTTACTCAACAAATACAAATTCTCAGTATGTACAAGATATGTGCATAAGGGTAATGTCCAAGTAAAGAAAACAAAAGTATAATGTTTTTAGCTACTCCTACTCACAAAATCCCATGTGTTTCTGACTGTAATATTTACAACAGATCTCCAGGTCTTTCTTGCATGAGCCATCTGAGAGGGCTTCTTAATTGTCTTTCAATTAGCCTTAATTAATTGCAAATATCCTCTTCAAATAATCACACAGTTTTCATTTTCAAGATTAATTAATTAAATTCTATTGCAATAAATTACATATAATAAAATATTTGCTACTTCAAACTTTCTTAGTTGCTGATGTTGTTTTTAACTTAAAAAAAATACTCACGGATTCCAACCCAAATCTTGTGGGTTCACATACAGAATTCCAGCCCTGGAAACAGTAGCTGGGGTGGCTGTCCTTAAGTGATGTATCTCAAACAGAAGCCGCATGCAGGGCGTCAGGGCCACCCGCTCATTGCTGGCCAGGGTCAGCACCTGGAGGGAGCAGCACAGGAAACACAGGCAGACCTCAGTTGTGAGCTAATGCCACATTGCAACCTTTTTTGCTGTCCTTGGTTGTCATCAACTTGATTCCAACTCATGGGGAGCCCATGTGTGCAAAGTAGCAATGCCCCATGGGGATTCAAGGCTGTGACCACTCAGAAATAGATCATCAACTCTGTCTTCCAAGACTCCCCTGGGTGGGTTTGAACCACCAACCTTTGAGTCAGGACTGTATTTTCACACAAATAATGTGTGTCTTCCAGTCCTGGTTGGTAAACAACCATAGAAGGAGTGTGTTTTTTGAATAAAAATACAGTCATTTGAAGGCTTAACCACCCAAATCATAAACTCACTGCCACCTAGTCAGTTCTGACTCATAACAATCCTGGATAAGATTTCTTTACTGGAGTAGACAGCTTTATATTTCTCTCTCAAAGTGACTGGCAGTTTTGAACCCTGACCTTGTGGCTAGAAGCCGAGTGCTTATCCTATAGCACAACCAGGCATTGTCATGTGGTGCTATGGGCTCAGGTGCTGGACTGTGGCGGTTCAAACTCACTAGTAGCTCCTTGGAAGCCCTATACAGGGTTGCTAAGGGTCAAACCAACTCAACGACACTTAACACAACAAAAACAACAACAACTGGCAGACACTGTAACTGTGACATGCAATTAAGAACACAGCCAACATGACATGAGCCTGCATGGAGTGAGCCAGGGATAGAAACAACCTGACATCACAGGTCTCTTTGTATCAAGCACCCAGGGGCTCGACCTCAGCTGCTGTTCAGTTGATTCCAATTTATGGCAACTGTGTTTGGGTTTTCACAGCTGTGACCTTCAGGAAGCAGATCTTGAGTCCTTTTTATCGACATGCTTCTGGATGGGTTTGAACAGTCAACCTTTTGGTTAGCAATCCAGAATTTAACTGTTTGCAATACCCAGGGACGTCATCAAAACAAGTGCTTTTCCCTAGAAGTAGCCAAAGTGGCTACAGCTCAGTCTGCATGTAGAATTAAGTTCACTAATCCTTAAATGTCCTGGTGTAGCACTATGGGTTAATGGTCTGGTCTGTATAAGCTTGGTCTGAACCACAAGGTTGGCGGTTCACCAGCCGCTCCTAGGAAACCCTATACAGGGTCACCATGAGTTGGATCCAACTCGATGGCACTTAACAACAACAAACAATTATCCTTTAAGTTCACTAAAATGACTCATTAATGCCAGCCTTTCAATAACTGTGGTATTTATTAGTAAGCTAAGTGTTAAGACATCTAATGTAAAAGTCAATTGCATAAAAAGGGCCTACTAGCATTAAAAAATCAAATTCCTTTAGAATCCTGTTGTTGTGGTTGTTATTGTTATGTGCCATCGAGTGGGTACCGACTCATAGCGACCCTATGCACAGCAGAACGAAACAATGTTCGATCCTGGGCCAACCTCACTATTGTTGCCACACTTGAGTCCATTGATGCTACCACCTGGCCAGTCCATCTCATTGGGGATCTTCCTCTTTTTTTCTGACTCTCCACCATACCAACATGATATCCTTTCTCAAGTGACTGTTCCCTCCTGACAATATGAGAGACGACGTTTGGCCTTCATGGCCTCCAAGGAGCACTCTGGCTGTCCTTCTTCCAACACAGATCTGTTGGTTCTTTTGGCAGCCTATGGCACTTTCAATATTCTCCTCCAACACCATAACTCAAATGTGTCAATTCTTCTACTGTCTTCCTTATTTACTGTCCAGTTTTTGCATGCATATGAGGTTATTGAAAATACCATGGCTTGGGTCAGGCGCACCTTAGTCCTCAAGCTGACATCTTTGCTCTTCAACACTTTA